TTAGCTAAACAGTGAAGGAAATTTACATAAATGAATGAAAATTGTGCCATAGAGGGTGTGACAAATGACTCAGAAGAAGAATTTTTGTTGGCATCAAAAACATCAAATCTAGTAGAAAAAGGAAACTCATTCTTATCGAACTTAACACTAGGATTGACAAACACTCTCCCATCTGAACTTAAGCACTTATACTCTTTATAAATTAAACTATACCTAACAAAACACACTTAGTTGAATGAAAACTAAATCTGTGTTTATTGAAAACGCTAAGAAAAGGAAAATAGGCACATAAAAAAACTTTCAAAATATCATAAGAAGGAGAAAATTTGAACAACATCTAATATGGGGAAACATTTTAGAACAATAGTGGGCATCCTAATTATTAGAAACACAGTAGTTTCAAATGCAAGCCACAAAAAAATCGCAAGGGCATAGAAGCATGTGCTAATAAGGTAAGACCTGTCTCTGTAATATGTTTGTGTTTTCTTTCACTTCTACCATTTTGTTGGTGGACATATGAATATGAATGCCTAAATTGTATTCCTTCACTAGTAAGATAAGGTATCAAGCTTTTACACTTATCTACTTGATCAAATTGAAGAGACTTGACTTTATAACCAAACTACCTCTCAGCTAAGTGATAAAATTTTACAGAGATAGACCTAACTTCTACTTTAGTTCTAAGAGGAAAAAGCCAAGTGAACCTACTAAAATCATCAAGGAGTTGAACATAATACTTGAACTCTTCTAATGATGAAATTGGAGCAAGACCCCATATGTCACTATGAATGAATTTAAGTGAAGCAATGGCTTTAGAATTTGAACTAGGAAAACTAGTGTGATACATTTTTCCTAATTGGCATGCTTCACAAAATTCTATTGATGAGGCAGATTTAGAGATTACGATTGATAAGGAAGATGAAGATTTTTGTAAACCTATCATGATTTTACGAAAAAATATAGAGTGGGGATAACCTAATCTGTTGTGCCGAATCATGGACTCAATGTTCTTATTTGTGATTGTCAATGCAACAGAGGTACACATAGTATCAACATGCTCAATGTAATTTGATTGAGGCATATTATTATGAACAACATTTTTATCAAAAATAGTTGCTCTTTTATTATTAGTGGACTAAGTACAAGGACCATCAAGTCGATTTACAACTTGTGAAACCTCAATGGTATTATTAATAAGACCAGACTCAACAACTTTTCTTTGAGCAATCTCAGAGTTACAAGGTATGACTGATAATAGAGATTTTTCTAACACTTAGGACCACTGAAAGCTACACATGTTCTAGATTGTGAGAAATTTGCAAGCTTTGAAGATGAAAATGAAGAGGATTGAACAGGTGTTGATGATAAGGACTGACTGGACTGATTTGATGGAATCACCAACTGATACAACCCTACCTTAAGATCTCCTTGTAGTAGTACTACCCTGGTAAACGTGTCCTTTACAACATAACAATCAAAGTTAAACTCAACCACAACATTGTTATCTTTTGTAAACTTAGATATACTAAGTAAATTTTTGGTTATTCTAGGTATACAAAAAATGTTTTTGAGATATAAACACTTAGATCGCAATGTAGTAGGTAAGGAAGTAAAGCCAGTATGAGAGATTTTGAAAAAGAACATGCTTTCAAGACTCCAATTGAGATTTGCAGATAGCAAGAACCAACTTTAAAGCATGTAAAATTATTTTTCTCACTGAATTTAGAAGCCAAAGACTTGATTTCTTGGCTTCTAAATTCCAACAACATTAAAAGAAATCCTTATTTCCTTTTTTTTTTTCACTAAAATAATTCTTTTTTTTTTTATATATATAAATTCGGAAGCAAGTATATATATATATATAAATATATATAATATATATATATATATATATAAATATATATATATATATATATATATACTTATTTTCGATTCGGGTGTGTATACAAAGTAGATTTGCTAGTTGTAACCACCACTAGGTGACTTGATGGTAAAAGAGTAAAAGGAGGTTCTATGAGCTCCTGAGTTCGAGTCCCCCTAGACACTAATAGAGGTGGCCACTGGGGTTCTTACTTGGCCGACAATTCTAGGGCCTCGGGGGATTAGTTAAGGCTAAAATATTTGATAGTTATACTAATGCTTAGTTGCATACGATTGAAGAAATGATGGTCAAAGAACTCGAGGGTGTAAGGCTTTTTTATTTTTGGTGAGGGAAGTCAGATATGTAATCCTGTAAATCTTTCATGGAAATTGAGGTTCCATGATGTAAAGGGGATTCTATGCATTCGCTATGGTTGAGTGAAGTTTAGACTAAAAGGGATTCTATGGAGTCTCTATGGCTGAGTTAAGTTTAGACTAAAACTTGTGTCGGTTTTTGTAGTGAGATGAAGTTCAGTAGAGTACTAACGAGTAGGGACGGAGGGAAGGGGTTCACTTGACCCTCCTTAAGTTTTGAATTTTTTTTTACTAGTTTTACAAATTTGCACCTAAATGAAAAATAAATTACAAAAAAAACTTTAATCAATCCAATAAGTTAAACTCTCATTTTCCTTTTTGGGTCAAAACTAAACCCCTCTTCCTCTACTTCCCAAACGGTCTTTTTTTTATTGCCCATAACTGATTCAACAATTTACGGTTCAAATTTTTCTTAAATTTCTAATTATTTATCCACACAAATGCAGTTTTCTCCTACCTATCAAGCCGACAAGCCCATTTCTCTTCAATTTGTCAGGTAATACTAATACTAATATATTTTATATTTGTATTCTTTTATGTTGAAAGTTAATGTTAAATTATAGATTAGGATTTAGGAAAATGAAATTTCCATTGGGACCACAAATTGTACCCATATTTTTTATAATGTCCTAGATATGTAGTTTTAAGAGTTGAATAATTGTTTCAATAAGGTAAACACTGAATTGCTTATTTGTTTGGCATATTTATGTCCAAATGAATCATTTGTTGTTTTAATAAACAAAAATTGATGCGACTTGCCGAACTTTATCCACAAGATTTTTTTGACTTAGAACTCATGGCACTTGATTCTCAACTTGATGTTTATATTTTGTGTATGATTCTAATGTCAAATTTATGGGATTAAAAAGGATTGAAGATCTTGCAAAATAGATGGTTGAAAGTAAGAAGGATAGAGTGTTTCTATTAGTTTATTTGTTGATGAAATTAGCATTGATGCTACCCGTTGCCACTGTTAGTGTAGACAGAGCATTTTCAACAATGAATTTTGTGAAGACTCTTTTGCGAAATAGAATGAGTGATCAATAGTTGAATAATAACTTAGTTGTATATATAGAGAAAAATGTATTTGATAGTATTAATAATGATGTCATTATAAAATACTTTCAAAAGATGAATTCCCGTCGAGAACAATTATAAATGTATTAGTTAATGAGAATTTTATAAATACAAACTTGTGCTTATTTTAATTTAAATTTGTATTGTTCTTTCAACTTTGAACCCCTACATTTCATTTTTAGCTATGTCCCTACTAACGAGCAATGTTTGGGGCAGAACTACTACAAATGCTTAAATTGGATTCATACGAAAGATTGAGCTTGGAAAGTTTTAATACTTTACCAAATGTATTAAACCTAAGCAGAATGGGTTGCTAAGTTGATTTTAGTGCTCATTCATCACCATTATAAAACAATCAAACATGAACCAAAATAAAGAACACCATGGGTTTTTACATGGTTCGGCAAAACACCTACATCCATGGGACCAAGTCTAGAATGAAACCAATCCACTATGGTAAACTTTTCAGTTCAATTACAAAGCCAAAGACTAAGCCTTAGTTGCAAAAACACTCCTTGTTTTGTAACGCTTCAACCTCCACCCTTTGGTCGAACTTCGAACTACCACATCAAGCTTCACGTTCACGAAACCACTTGGTCAGCCTTGAGCTTCTCTCAAGGTACGGCACCAAAGATCCACTCTAGTTGAATCAGCTCAGCAAGCTTCAAGCACCAACTACATGACCAACGTAGAAAGATGGACAAAATCAAAGTATTTTGATGAAGGTATTTATAAGCCTACCTAAGCATAGAAACCTGATAAAAAACAAAAGAAACCTTTAAGAATATTCAGAGTGCTTTCAAGGAAATAATTAGGCTTAAATGAAATTGCATTGGAGAAGAGATTATATAGAAAATATCCGCCCAATGTAAGGGGACAAGTGGCTAACAAGAAAACTTTATGGTTTCACCTTTATGAAAAGTTTATTCCAATTCTCTTGGGACCACTAAAAATTGTAAACAAACTTTCCAACACACGGCATGAATAAATGAAAAGTGTCATGGACCACAAACAATATCTCATAATGAGAATAAAAACAGTTCACGGGAATATTGAGATGCAATACGTGTTATGCAAAATATATGTCAGATGCATGTGACCACTCAGACTCTAAGGTGCTCACACAATATAATAGAAAGTAGACTCAATTGAAAGTGGTCACTTTGACAGAGAGTCGTCACACTAGAAATTTAAATATAAATGATTGTGCAGAGGCAAGACGATGTCATGACCTCAAAGATCAGTGTTCCCACACTGGGTTCATAATTTGACAAATAACTTACAATTTCACCCTCTGTCAAACTTATGAACAAAACACAATCCAAAAAAAAAAAATAATTGTCTCAAAAGAACATCAATCAATTAATAGAGACAAGAAACAATCTCAATGAGAAGCTAAGCATCTAAGGAAAAAAAAAAAAACCTGAAATCTTAAGCAAGGCATGTATAAAAAATTGCTTTTAAGATAAACATAAACAGGGCTGAACAGCTCCCCCCTCAATAGGAGCACTCCCCCTGAGTAAGTAAACCAAACACTTCAGAAATCAAGTGATTAGCAAAAAAATTTCAGTTTTTATCATAAAATAAAAATAGCAGCAACTGCAAACAAAAGAGAAAACACATTAGAAAAATAGTCATCATAACCGACGAGCAACAAAACCTTAATCATGAAAATTGTTTACCACATAAACAAAATGCATCAGTAATAAGTTCAAGAGAAGTTTAAACTAACAAAAACAATAATAAAAAGTTCTGCATGAAAGAAAACAAAAATAAAAATTCTCTCTCTTCACACCAAGGTGAGCACATCAGTTCACCACCTCAATTCAGCCCAAAGTCATCACCTCAGCTACCACATCAGCACACGTAAATAGTAAAACTACTCCTCCTCTTTGTTCATAAGTTATGGTGTCTTGAGGATCTTCTTGGGGGAAGTTTGTTCTTTTCAGCCTGAGTCTTCAACCTTTTTGCTCAAATGGACACAGCTAGTGCAAGAGCATCATCATCAGCTCAAGTGTCGGAAGGATCTTGTTGTTGTTCACCCTCAGTATTGGCTTCATGGATATGAGCCAATGTAGTAGCAGTAGCATCCTAGGCAGTCTTTGCTTGATCAGAAGCAGCAGCATGATCTATCTCTTCTAGAGCAGTAGTAGTAGCTTGGTCATCCTTTTCTAAAGCAAGAGTAGCAACTTGGTCATCCTCTTCTTGATCAGAACCAGCAGCTTTGATTGTATCTTGTTGAGTTTCAACTAGAGGTTCCTGTTGAACTGGAACAGTTGATGAGGAAGCAGCTGCCCATGATGAAGTTAGTTCAGCTTGGATCTTTTTCACCATATCCTCTAAGACATCCACTCGTGCATGAAAAGTGAAGTGAATGTGAGTCATTTGCTCAGTAAGCTGAGAAAATTTCTCATCCATTTTGCTATCGAGAACCTGTAATAGATAAAAAATTATTGATTGGCCAGTGTTAGCTTTGCCAAAGGCAGCATTTGAGGATGAAGGCACATCTTGAGCAGGTGCTGAGGTTGGAATCTTGATGGTCTTGGCTATAATGCATCTAATTTTTAGGCGAGAATCAGTTGGTTGCCTCTTAGGGTTATAGGAAGTTACAATCCTATGGATCAGGGAAGCAAAAGGTAAAGCTAAGGATTTCCCCTTGGCTTCAGTAGCAGACCTAATGCTAATGTAAATCAAAGCCCCCAAATCAATTTTCTCCTAATTAGCAATTCCATAAATCAACTGAGCTTTATCAAGACTCATAGAGTTGTGAAGCGATGGAGACCAGTTTGTCAGGGTGATCATAAACAAAATGTTATAGAACTGGGTCAACACATTGGAAGGAATGTGGCCACTCTTAGGCCATTTCAGAACAGACCCTCCAGTGAGGTCGATGGCTAACTGGTCCAGGTGTTCAAGACTAATGGTTAAATCATCAGGTTCCTCAATAAGGGGTAGATTCAAAAACTTCCTAACCACCTCAATTGTGAATTCAATCCAATGCCTTCTAACACAAACTTGATTTCTTTTCAAACTAACCCTGTTTATATCAGTCTTAAAGTTTGAATAAAATTCTTGGACAAAGGCCTAATAAGGGAGAGGAAGACTCTCAACAGTTTTTACCCATTGTCTATCAATCACAATAGACTTGATATCAGGAAAATCATCAAGTTGTACACGGGATTCAGACAAGATAGGTCTATGAACAATAAAGTCATTAAACTTTGATTCAGCAAAAGGAATGTTAAAGATAAGACATTTACCCAACTCCAATGATTCAAAGGCAACAATTTTGGCCTTTTTCTTCTTCAACTTTGGTGCTTTCTTTGTCTGTTTGGATTTTTGATGAGATTTCTTCTTCTTCTTGCACTTAACTCTCTTGATCAACGACTCATCAAAGGAATGTTGATCAATAGTAGGTGAGACAGGTGGTGGCAGAGTCTTGTCAGATGAGGATTGTGAAGGGTCTGGTTGTTCATCGGTTTGACTCTCCCTCGCCCTTTTCTTTGATTTTGACACATTCCTGATGTCGGCGATGGAGGAATCTTGATGCTCCATGATTGACAAACACTCAAGGATTAAAAAACTCAAGATGAAATTCAAAGAAAAATTTGAGAGAAAAGGCTTTGAGCGGCACGAAAATGTTTCAGCTGAGAGACAATGAGATGTCGCAACAATTGAAACGTGCACCCTAGAAAAATATGGAATTTTAAATGAAGTCGTCACTTAAGTTTCATGTGAGCGCACTGTCACGCAATGTGATCACTCAAAATAGTTAATTTCAAGGTGATAACCTCGCTCTAGGAGTGGTCACACAACACATGAAATAAAACAAACAATCTCAATCATTAGGTGGTGACTCAAAAATCAGTGTGAGCATACAAGGATCTTTTTCACAAATCAAATCAACATATTAGAGTGTGGTAACTGTAAAGACTCATGTGAGCACCGTGAAGCAAGCAGGCTATCACATGAATACTCAAGGTGATGACATAGACACAAAGGAAGTAGACTAAAATCACATAAAATTTAAAAAGAAACAAGTACAAAATGGTCATGAGATCAATCAAAAATTGTCATACGATTTAAAGAGACAAGTCATATTTTGATTTGATTAGAAGACACAAAATTCATTTCTCAACCTATGAAAGAAATGTATAAGGAGTATCTCATCCAAAGAACATTCCACAACTTAAAGCAATCACTCCTTTAAGTCACAAATGAGCAACAAAAGCAAACATTCTCAATCATATGTGTGTGAAGTGTCCTCAAGGGGTAAGTATGACTTATTGGTCAATTTTGAAATAAAAGCAACTCCCCTTTCTCTCATGCCCTTTTTTTTTTTTTTTTTTTTTTTGTTATTCTTTTCGTTTTGAATTTAATCTCAACATTTTGGATTCTTTTGCATATCAATAGAGATTAATGGGCATAACACTCAAGAGGTAACCAAGTGAAGCTTTCACACTTGCAAATAGTTAGTCCTCTAAGCGGTAGATTTTCCAAGGACGTAGGGGTCTTTACATCGTAGAAAATTACTCAAGTATGACTTTCACACTATAAACAAGGTAGCTCTTTCACAAGGTGACAAGAAATATGCACATAACACTCAAAAATGAAAAAAAGTCGTTATACTTCTTTGAGGTGAAAAACAAGGTGGACACGTCACTCACCACACATATTTCAAAGGGAGAAACACTTCTTTATGACTCAACACATATCAAATACACTTGTAACCTTAAAGACAAAGAAAAGTTTTCTCATGACATTATTAAAAGAAAGACTATACTCAAGTTGAGTTAGTCCAACAGACTTCCTCAAATTCACAAAAGTTTGAAAGTCTAAAGCCTTTGTAAATAAGTCAACAAGTTGAGAATTTGTGTTCACATTTGCAAGGGTGATCACTCTATCTTCGACCAATTCTCTAATGAAATAATGCCTAATATCAATGTGCTTTCCTAGAGTGTTGAACTGGATTCTTAGATATGTTAATTGCACTTGTATTATCATAGAAAATAGTAACACATTTTTTATCAAAACCATAGTCACTTAACTTGTTTAATCCACAAAACCTGTGTATAGCAGCTCCCTATAGCAATGTACTCTACCTCTATAGTTGAGATTGAAATGGAGTTCTATTTCTTGCTGTACCAAGTCACCAATTTGTTTCCAAGGTAAAAGCATCCTCCAGATGTACTCTTCTTGTCATCCAAGCTTCCAGTCCAATCTGCATCACTAAAGCCAACCAAGGTAGGGTTAGTGTCAGATGCAAACCACAATCCAAAGTCACATGTACCTGAGACATATGTCATGATTCTCTTCATAGCTATAAAATGAAGTTTAGTAGGATCAGCTTGAAACATTGCACAAACACCTACACTGAAACATAAGTCAAGCCTACTTGCAATTAAATACAACAGGCTTCCTATCATGCTTTTAAACACTTTGTTATCTACCTTTTTCCCACTTACATCCTCAGACAGTGTAAGGGTAGAGCTCATAGGTGTTTTAGCATATTTTGCATTTTCAAGGTTGAATCTTTTAAGCATGTTCTTTGCATAATTTGATTATGATACAAACAAACCACTAGTGATGGCAATGGGCCGGGCCGGGACCGGGTACCCCTTGGCCTAGGCCCAAGCCCAAGCTCGACCTCATGACACATGCCCAAGCCCGGCCCGAGCCTGCTACGGGTATGATAGGCAAAGCCCAAGCCCAAGCCCGGCCCGACGGGTTTTTTATAACCGCAGGCCCGGCCCAAGCCCACCTTTTTTAATAATGTTTACTTTTAAATATTAATAAATTTTTTTTTTATATTTTTAATTTTAGAAATAGTTTTTAAATATTAATTGAAGCTATTTCCGCAAATAATTTAAGCAATAAGTGAGCAATTAAAACTCCATAATATTTGATTATACTAACTTTCAACTATGCATAATATGTTATGATAAAATCCACTTTTATAAGTTAAACCAAACCCATGTAACTCATTTAAAGGCAATTTTAACGTGTTAAACCTTCAATATGGGATGAAAATCGAGGTTTGGGTTTGAGAAAAATGGATATATATATATATTATATAATATATAGTATAATATATCTAATTAATATATAATTAAATATATAGTATAAGGGTAAATTAGTAAAATTAATAATAAAATTTTTGGGACGGGCCGGGCCTAAAGATATACCCATGCACGGCCCGTACCCGAGGTTGGGCCTTAAAATCAAGCCCAGGCCCAAGCCCAAGCCCACCAACCTCAGGTAAAGCCCGCCCCTTTTGGGCCGGGCCGGGTACCCGAAATTGTCGGGCCCATTACCATCTCTACAAACCACTATCAAATTGCTTAATTTGAAGTCCTAAGAACATGTTTAATTCTCATACCATGCTCATTTCAAACTCATCTTTCATTGAAGTAATAAACTCTTGCAATTGTGTGTGTGAAGTGGAACCAAATACTATGTCATCAACATAAATTTGAGCACAAAGAAACTCACCACTACCATGTTTAATAAAAAGAGTCTTATCAGCATTACTGTTCCAAAATTGTGATCAAGAATGAATGAGGTAAGCCTCTCATACCATGCTCTTGGAGCCTACTTCAGTCCATATAGTGATTTCTTCAGTTTGAACACATGATCTGGCTTGTAAGGATCCTGAAATCTAGCATGTTGCTCAACATAAACTTCTTCCATAAGCAAGCCATTCAAGAATGCACTCTTCACATCCATTTGATAAAGCTTCAACTTTAAGCAACAAGCAACTCCCAAAAGCAATCTAATCGATTCTAATCTGGCCATTGGAGCAAAGGTCTCGTCAAAATCAATCCCTTCTTCTTGTGTGTACCCTTGAGCAACAAGCCTGGCCTTGTTTCTAACAATATTTCCAAATTCATCAGACGTGTTCTTAAAGATACACTTGGTTCCTATGACATTAATTCCTTCAAGCTGAGGAACCAAGCTCCACACGTCGTTCCTCTCGCATTGTTCAAGCTCCTCATGCATGACAGCAATCCAGCAATCATCCTCCAGAGCTTGTTTTGCATTCTTTGGTTCTGAAAGAGAAACATAGCATAAATGGTTAATTTAATTAAATCTTTTTCTCCTTGTAACCATTACCTCTTTAGGATTTCCAATGATAGAAGATGGTGAATGTGCCTTCTTGATCCAAGAGGGTAGTTCTTTGGTCTTGGGAGTCCTTCTTAGAGTGATTTCATCTGATAGATCAACTACCAAGTCAAATCCTTGTCTTTGGGAGATAGACCCCTGTTGAGCAACAGTGGTGCTCACTTCAGGTTCTTAGGTGGTACTTCATCTTGAGATTTAGTTCCAAAAGGAGTCACAGTGGGCACTTCGTCACGATATGTGGTCACTTCAGCAGGAGCAATCATATCATCAATTTCATCTTCCTGTGAGAACTGTGAGTAATCTTCTAAATCAGAGAAAACCACATTGAAAGATTCAATGATACGTTGTTTTCTCATGTTAAAAACTTTATGTTCTTTTCTCATGTTAAAAACTTTATATGTCCTACTATTTGAAGAATACCCAAGGAAGACTCCTTCATCACTCTTAGCATCAAATTTCCCTAGATGATCTCTATCATTCAAGACATAGCACTTGCATCAAAGACATGGAAATACGAAAGATTTGGCTTCTTACCTTTCCACAACTCATATGATGTTTGAGATGTATCTTTCCTTAAGAAAATTCTGTTAAAGATATGGCATGCAGTGTTTATTGCCTCTGCCCAAAGTCTTGTAGGCAACTTCTTTGCATTTAACATAACTCTTGCCATCTCTTGAAGCACTCTATTATTCCTCTCCACTACACCATTCTGTTGTGGTGTCTTTGGGGCAGAAAACTCATGCCAAATGAGCTACATTTCACAAAAGTTAGAAAAATCAGAATTTTCAAACTCCTTCCCTTGATCATTTCTTATCCTCATCACCTTTTTTACATGGCAGTTTTGCTCCACCTGTAATCTTTTCACAAGACATTGAAAGCTTCAAATGCATCATATTTTTCTCTTAAAAAATCAACCTAAGAAAATCTAGAAAAATCATCAACACAAACATAGACATATCTCTTTTCACCTAAACTTTCAATTTGCAGAAGGCCCGTAAGATCCTTATGAAGTAGTTCTAAAACACAAGAGGTAGTCAAACAAGATAGAGGTTTGTGACAGCTCTTGGTTTGCTTACCCTGTTGGCAAGGACCACATACTTTATCGTAGGGAAACTCAAGCTTCGGCAGACCCTTAACAGTATCATTCTTAGAGAGTTTCACGAGATCTTTAAAGTTCATATGTCCAAGTTTCT